TTTTTTTTTTTTAATCTATTATATCTAATATTGTATTTCTGTGACCATTTTATATTTGCTTGTACGCTATCGATGATCTGTACCTTGTATGTTAAGGTTCTTTATGATCAATAAACATTCCACTTCGTCATACATAGTGGAAGTATCATGGTTATTTTCATCACAATTGCAAACCTTGTGTTATCGTCAGAAATTTCAACATAATCGTTTTGCAAAGATGATGAAAATCTAGCCCATTTGACAAACTGTCAACGTACACAGGTGTTTTATTATAATTATTTTGAAGCGTTTTTAGTACATGTGTACTGTATGTTATTATTTAGAGGTTCATTGAATCGAAACTTGTCGCCAGAAAATTAACAGGAACAGGTTTTGTTATATATGTAGAATGCCCCCAGTCGTATACATGTCACTTATATGTCTTTGATTTTCAAGGTTTTTTGTGACTTTGTCTTTGATGGGTGTCTCTGCTTTTAAAATAAATTATTTTGGAAGGACATAATAAAAAGTTCCATACACAGTGCAGTGCACTAGAAGAATACACATTATAATAAAAAAGACTCTGTATGCAAGTTGTTGCACTGTATTGTGCATATTAATTGTGACCCATTTTGGGATTTTTGTCTTGACTTTTAGATGTTCACCCCTGAAATGATGTTAACTTTCGTTATAGAGTCTATGAGAATGGGCTAGAGGTTGCTAATTGAATAGCATTGAATATTTTTAAGTAAACACATTAGAGAAGGTCAGAAAAACCTGAAAATCAAACGCTTGTAAGTTTAGGGGGTATACTTCCTATTATAAGTACCTATTTTTTGTTAAAATTAATTTTTCAACCAGTAAACTCTTGCCATTTGAACCTTCCTATTTATGGCATTAAAGACCAATAGATATGTATTTATCTATTTATTTTTATGTCAAATAGTATAGCAATCATTTTATGACCAACTTTATATCTACGGTGGTAATATATGCAAAGTAGTGAGGGACATATTGAATAATTAAAGTGCTTTATCTTCAGATAAGAATAGTTCTACTGAGTACTGTGACAATACTATACCATTTCATGAGTGTTTATCTATAGGTATTGATAAGCAAAAATGAATGTGTGTGTGTATATATATATATATATGAAATGGTAAGACATTGTAAATGAAATATGCAGTTTCCAGAATGTGTCCTATGAATCAAATTTGATTCAACAGGATCAAATGAATGAAGAACATCACATAATTCATTTGCTTTCTTTTTAGGGGTAATGTGAGATGCACCAAGAATGGCTACTTAAATCATGTGGTGCTTTCTCATATTTTTTTGAAACCATTCCCAGAAAACTTTTAAGATTTCAACTGCAGAGGGCATATCTAAGTACTGTTGATCCCAGTAAATTGACTGTCATGGAGAAATCTGATGAAAAACAGAAAGCTTCAACATTGGAAAGTAGAGAATGGTCAAAAACGGGCAGTCCCAGTAATGAATCTACTGACATAAAAAATTTATCAGATACTCAGCATGCTGTCAAGAGAACTTTGGAAGGTGACGAAAGGGCTTGTAAAGTTCCAAAATTAGGAACAGATGAGGTAAATTTGTTTTTCCAATAGGTTACTTCTATTTCTAAAATTTCTGTAATGGCTCATGCATGCTGTTCTTCAAACCTTTTAAATATTAGCTTCTTGTGGCAGCTTATATGTGCTGGGGCAGAGTAATAATTTAAAAGTGTAGAGTTAAATAAAATGTTTTACACCAGTAAATAATTCAACATAATTAGACATCATCAGAAAATTGGGACGGTGTCAACATTTTTCACTGCATTATAATTTGCATGGCATATATTAGTGGACATTACCAAAAGCATTACTAGTAATTAAGTATTTACATGTGTAGGATTCTGTGCTTTTGAACACTGATGAGATATTACCTCTGCTTGTATCCAGCTCAGTGTCTGTGCTAAATGACATATGTATGATGAGATGACTGCCAAGTGATCTTGATTCTGGTTGCTGTATCCATAAAAATGAATGAATATTTTCAGCATCATCCCTCCCCATCAAATATTTTAAGAAAAAGGAAGGTGGCTCTACTCCTGGCATATAGTGGATCTGGCTACATGGGGATGCAAATGTTAGTATAATAGTTTGATTAGTTTGGATAAAGTTTGGATAGTTATATTTGAATGGATGATACCAAACTAATTTCACATTTAGAATTGCTGTCTGTGGGATATTACCAGATTATTTCTGAATTGCCCCTAGCCTGAAGATTTAATTGATATTTTTTATTTGCCATTTGTTTATAGTAATAATGATTTTGCATCAATTCTGAACACCCAAATATGCCTTAGAGTGACTTCAGTTGTTCATTTGTTTACCATAACATAACAGCAGCAAATTGTAGATATATTTTATTATTATTTCAATATTTAATTTAATGGATTTCAGCCAGAAAGATGTAACCACTATTGAAACAGACTTGGTATCAGCACTGTATAAGGCTGGAGTCATTCCAGAGGAACATGCAGAAGAAATGCAGAAGGTGAGCAATCATCAAATATTGAAACTGATCGAATGCAATGATATTTACATATTTATTTAAAATATGTCCTTTCAGCAATAATCTTGAAATCAAATGTAAAGATAATGTTGTGTGTCATAAAACCATGTGCTTGTTTGATCATCTGACATTTTCTTTAATTTCAAGATGTCAATTTTATTAGATAGTGTATTGAAGTTTGTATCATGTTTCTTATAGATGAAATTCCAACGAGCTGCCAGAACAGACAAAGGAGTGTCTGCAGCTATGCAGTTGTGCTCTTTGAAGGTTTGTTGATTCTGATTACTTGCAACATCTATATAACACAAGTGACTAGGGTAATGACTCTATGGCCACATTCAGAACAGTGGACTCACTGGTCTGAGGGTCAACTATGGCAACTCACTAAAAACCTTGCCATCTAATCCACTGATAGACACTGAACTGATTCCCCGTAGGGAAGCATTCAGGTGGGGCAGCCACATTTGACCCTCGGACTATTAAGTCCACTGTTCTGAATGTGGCCTATCATTTCAACCTGGCATATTGTATTTTACACAAACTGTATTTTTAAAGAAATAAACTCTTAAAATTAGAACATTCCTATTGAGTGGTAGCAAAACTATTGAAAATCAAATAGTTCTGTTCCGTTCAGTAAAAGCACAAAAATGCTACACAGAAATCTATTTTAAATGATTCCAAAATTATTTATCTGAAAAATTGTAAATTTAATTTTCCCTTGTTGAAATAATCAAGCCATTACCTCCTCTCTCTCTCTCTCTCTCTCTCTCTCTCTCTCTCTCTCATCCCTTTTTTTAATGCTCTAGATGCTGCTTCCTGAAAACTGCATTGAGAAAATTAATGAACGTCTTCCAGCGCAGATAAAGGTGTTTTGTAAGTAAAAATGATATCATATTATAGCATAGTTTTCAAGAAATTGTCTTAAATTTAATTTCTTTCACTACTAAATGGTTGATATGAAATGGAAACTTTTTTCTTATAAGTCACTTCTGTAACAAGCCATTTCTGATCAGTTATTTATGTTGAAGAGAGTTTGATCTATGGCATTGCTGTATTTAGTTATTGACACTGTTAATGCTGGTATGCACTGTGCACTGATAATGTTTATTTGATAGTTTTAATTAAAAATTGAATAAAAAAATGGATAAAAAAATTCAAATTCCTTTTTTCTGCAGCAATAAAGAGAGTCACTCAGGGTTTCAACAGTAAGAATAATTGTGACAACAGAACATACTCATACTTGATGCCAACTTATGCATTTACACCGGTAGAACAGGTATATAAACATTGTTTAGAATAATACAAATTATTATTCAATCAAATAGAAATGAGGCTTTTATAAATTATAACTTCTTGTTTAAATTTGTGATAAATTAAAATCTATTTTTTCTTAAATCTAAAAACTTGAAGAGATTTAAATTTCAAAAGAAGGCATACAGGTGATTTTATTCTATTTTATTTTATTTATTTATTTATTTATTTATTTATTTATTTTTTTTTTTTTTGTTATTTTTCAGAATGTGACAGAAGATTTCAAAATCTCAGGTATTTGTTAGGTTTAATATTAATTGAATTCAGAGAAAGTTTGTGGCAATAATTAAATATAAAAAATTGGATATTTTAGTATGTGAACATCATTAGGTTTTTGTTTATTTTTTAGTTTTTGGTAATTTTGACTAATTTTAGTATGAAAAAATTTTTAGTCTAGATGCTGAAGTTAGAATATAGTTGTGATGATGTAATTCCACTGTTTTTGTATAACATTGAACATTGAATTTTTAAATAAATAATCCTTAGTATGTAAATTTTTATCCTCAAGATGACAGTTTAAAACTAGCAAGAGAAGTTTTATCCATGTTTAAAGGAACTCATAACTTCCACAACTTTACAGCAGGAAAGTAAGTACAGATACATCTCCATGTGTTCTGTGTTTTGAACATAGTTATATATGAAAGTTATAGGCATGCTTTTCTGGCGTGCATAAATGACTGTGTAGCTAATATATATATATATATATATATATATATATATATATAACAATGGCCACCAAATGCCCCTTATATTTTCATTTTTATTTATTAAATTTTCATCAAAATTAGATGATTTTATTGTAGGTAGGCTAAATATGCTTTTTTTGGTATATGGGTAGATTTGGCAATTGCAAAGTTTTGTTTCAGTTTTACATTGGAAATGTTACAAACTCATCTTTTATTACTGTTGTAAATAGGTGTGAACCTGCTTGATTTCATTTGCATACTTGTTTTATACTTGAATGTGAAATCCTGTAAAATAAATGTTTGCTTTAAATTATGATGTGTTTTCCAGAAAGGCAACAGATCCCAGTGCCAAGAGGTACATTATAGATATACAGGTGAGACTATCAACTTTGGCTGTATTCTAATTTAGATAAAGTTTGAAAATGTTTGATCCTGTGTAAAAGATCTTATGATTAGAATAACAGTTACTATGAAAAATATTAAACAAATATTATATAGAATATAGATGTTTTTGTCTAGTTCAGCTGTACTTACAGTGTTTCATTGCATTAAGTGTGGAGAACCTTTTGTCCAAGAGGGATTAGAATTCATCACTGTGACTGTCCGTGGTCAAAGCTTCATGTTGCATCAAATAAGAAAAATGATAGGTAAGGCAAAGTTGACTGTTGATTTTTGTTTTGAACCAGTAATAAGCAGAAAAAAAAACCATTCTATGTTATGTATTATGTCAAGTTTCATGACAAAAAATGTTGAAACTGAATGAAAACAGTGAATTTACCAGAGATTTGTATTGAGGGATTGTGTGATGTTTGTCTCTTGGTGTTTCAGGATTGACAATAGCTGTGGTGAGAGGGCTTGCTGCAAAAGAATCTGTACAACAGGCATTTGAACATCCAAAGGTATGTCATCTAGGCAGAAGCTTTTTGATATAATTAAGTTCTAATACTTTAAATTGAAGACAAGACTTTTTTTTATTTCTTTACCTTCAGTGTTGTATCTTTAAGTATAACTTTCACTCCAAAGTGACTATGGTTTTCTTTCATAAGGTAGAGACCTCTTTGTTGCCTTGCATCTGTTAACAAGTTGATATAAACTGGGTTATCAACAGGCCTCACAAACAGTTAGACGGCATAACCAGGGAATGTCAACAACATCCCCAAAACTGCAAAATAAGCAGACAACAGTACCACAGTACTGGGTTGTTGTCAATGTTTTATAGTTGAGGCCTACCCAGCTACCAGACTCGGTACCGAATGATCCCAAATTCATGGTAGATCGGACCACACTACCCATTTTCAAGGTGTGCGTCAGTACATACTTCACCTTATCATAACCCAGAACAAATTTTGAGATGAGGCTCACTACTTTCCAACCCTGCTCAGAATCATCGTATCACGTCCCGTAATAGGCAAGGGCGGTGCTGTGTCTATATTCCGAAGCACGTACTGACACTCAACTTGAAAACGGGTAGTGTGGTCAGATCTGTCGATGAATTCAGGATCATTCGGTGCCGAGTCTGGTAGTTGGGTAGGCCTGTAGTTATGTCGCATTGCTGTAACAGTTTGAGAGACTGGTTTTAGTTTCAGATGCAAAATAGCTGGTACATTTATGATGTGTTTAGTTTTTATTGAAAGAGTAGATTTGGCCTTATAGAAATCATTGATTTATTATTTCATAAAATTTCACAATAAAATACATCATCCTTTGTGTTTAAGATGGACATTCCTAAAGCCCCAGGATTAGGATTACTGTTGGAAAAGGTAAGCCTTGGCTTAAGATATATGAGTTTTTGGTTGAACTTGTTTTCAGTGACAATTTCAATAACTCATCATGGGTTTCATCACTTTTCATTTCTTATTTCTTTCTCTTCTTACTTGTTCTCAGTCTCATTCTTGCTCTCATTTTTGACTTGTCAAGAAAGTGAGTGATGTTGTTGGCTGTAAGTGCAAATGCAAAATATCCAGAAACTTAATTGTAAGAATACACTCAGATGAATTTTTAAAGACAAATTATAGACAACAAAATCCACCAAAATGTACTTTCACCAACTTTTCTACACAAAGACTTATCTCAAATTCCCTTTGTAAATTGATTAAAAACATTTGCAAATTGAGTTTTCAGTTTTCTAGATGATTTGAATATTAATCATTCATTCATTCTAAATGAGATTACTTAATTTTTTACATATTAACTAATGCAGTTTTGATGTTGTTATTATTGTGGTAATCAGTCACATAGCCCTCTTGTTTTGTTAATACAATTTTGTATATAATGGTTTTTTATTTATCCCAATGACATCAAACTTTTATTTCAGCTTCATTACGATGCCTACAATAAAAGATATGGCAAAGATGGGCTCCATGAAACACTAGACTGGGAAGATATCAGGGTATGTGGTGATAATAGTTGGACATAACATGAGACAGCTATTATCTTGCTTAACAAAAAGACATATTGTAGATATACATGTGCCCCTCATATCCTCATTCTCATATGGTTGAGTTGACAGGTGAAAATGAATATTTACATATTGTTCCCCTTTCAAGCACAGACTTGACTGGTGGTACATATTGACGACCCTACCAGTTGTGACCTCTATTTCTTATTTTCAGATGGACTTGGATAAATTCAAAGCTGAGCAAATATATCCAACCATCATTCAAACAGAGCTGAAGGAAAAATCGTATCCTTGTAATGTTCTAAGAGCTATTTTGTGGACATCCTGGAAGGATGAAATAAGTATATAATTGGGTATGGGAATGTTTTACTGATTTATCTAAAACCTCTGTTACACCAGACTTGCAACTGCTTAGAGAACAAATATCACCTACCCTGACTGATATGTAATTAAGTAAAAGGCTGTAAAATTAAAATTGCATTAAAAGGAATGCATAAAATTGATGTTGATAAACTAAAAATGTCAAAGCCCCAAAAAGGGTGAGAGTAAGCAAGAATTGTATGAATTGAGTTTTATTTATAAACAAAAATTCCATCTTCCTAGTGGTTGCAAGCCCAGCATACAAGGGACTTTAAGCAGAGAGAGAAAGAGACAGACTTATTTATTTAAATTAAGACTGACTACAATATTGAGTGTTTAAAGCCATTTAAGGCTCTATTCCCATAGATTTTAGATCGATCTATCCCCGCGGGGAGTCTCACTAGATTACTTTCAGATAATCCGACTTAAATGTCCGTCCCGTCTACTACAAGCTGTAAGGGGGTAATTAACTTTTGTGTCCGCCCGGCTGACAGCTATTCAGCGTGAACCCCCAGGGAGTTAGGTCCATCTAAAGTAGGTCGATCTAATCTATGGAAATGGGGTGTAAGTTTTACTTGGCCTTGACAAGAAAAAAACAGCATGTTACAGTGGCTACAAACTCTTCACTTGCATACCTTCATGCAATCAGAAGAAGAATATGGGGTTGAAACACCAAAACTTAGGGATGTTTGGACAAAAGTAAAAGAATTTTCAAAGGAAAAACAGGTAGGTAGGTAGGTAGGTAGGTAGGTAGTCTCAGGCACAAACACTATTGATATCAAATGTATTCAATCCACAGTTTAGGTTTAATTACTAAGTCAAGCAGGTCACTTATTTGAATACTTTTTTGAAGAATTTGATTTTAGTTTCTCAAAATTCTTCTGACTTGGGTGGAACTGGAATTTTAGAACTATCAATTTCTGATCAGATTTTTTTTCAATAGGGTTTTTGTGGTTTATAGAATGTTATTTTGGCATAATCGTATTGCAACTTTTTTTGTACTCATGATAATAGGAACATTCCTTTTCTTTACTTGGCAGCGTCTTATTAAGGTCTAACCACAAGTTTATATATGTGCCATATATTCACATTTTTGTTATACTGCTTTATGATTTATTTCAATGGTTTATCATGTTAAAAGCCTCCAGAAAACTGGTACACAATGACTAATGGTCATTATTTACAGTTTCAAAGCAGGTACAAGTTTGTATGTTCATCAGCTTTTACAGCCCAGTTTACAATTAACTTATAAATAACCAAAATATTATTCATATTGCTATCCTTTCTTTGTAGGAGGCATCAAAAAACGAAGAAAAATAAGTCCAAGATTCAATTAGTGTGACAATCTGAAATTTCTTTCTAAAAGCGGATCTCTTGGTGGGCAGCTGTTTGGAGCCTTCAGATATGTATAAGGGCACTTTTGATGTTCACCTATTGTTGGTGGTAGCGGTGGGGAGATACATTATCATATGATGGAAATTCAGATTTACTATGCATCCTTTTCCAGAAATTTCACAAAGTTTGAACCAGGAGAAATTCCTATACAAAATGGATAGAAATGGCATAAGGCTATTTTGTGCTGTGCCCGAGAACACGCATCAATTTTTTACTGGCAATGCGTGCAGTGGTCCATACATTGTCCATGGAGAGAAATGACATTGTCAACCAGGACAAACTGAAACCATCATATTAAGTTATATCTATTAAACTTTATATTAATGAGATGGACATCACCCTTGAAATTGCCATACTATCTATAAATGGATTGCTATTTTAAGGACATTGGAAAAGGATTATTCAGTGCGCCTCCCTCTGTAAAGGACGACCTGGTCTCCAGATGAAAATGGAAGAATTTTAATTTTTAAAATCAACTTGAATTAAAATAAAGGTCAAATTAATAAGTTAAAACATGGTCAGAATTTTACAGTCCAGTTTAATGTGGTTAGTTTTCATATAAACAATAGTGTTCAGCTGTGTAACTTTTAGAGCATATAGTATGTGGGCCAATAAAAAATTTATTCAGCTAAATTGTTATTTCATTTGACTTAAAACTGCAAATAAATTTGTTAAAAGGAGTCAAACATGCCATTTCATGTACATCGGAAGTTTATATTACATAAATTGATAAGGACACTGCAAACGAGATAAAGACAAGCTTCAACTTATGCAATAGTATGGGGGAGGGGAGATGTGTGCACATAATACTATATCACATACAAGAATTCCGAGACTCTCCCCACAACTGAACCCCATTTATTAATGGTTATCATGCATTTTGTTACAAAAAGATTTTTCAGTATTTCAGTTCATATTGGCTTCATTGATAAGTATCCCTCAATAGCGTATCATAATTCTACAAAATAGATTTTAAATCTTGTGTTGGATTTCAAGTTCAGATAAAGCAGCACAGTCAATAAACTGCTTCAATAAACTTTGACTGTACACAGTGCTTTTGATTAAAAGGAAAAAAAGGATGATATTGTGGACAGGCTTTATTTTTAACCTCGACTTCTAAACTAACTGGAAGATCATATCATGAATACACTGACAATCTAATAATAATTGCTAAGGGAATCTTCAATGCTAAACACAAATACAAAATAAAACAGACTTCGTCATTAATATGTTCAGAACAGAAATGCAGCTGCATGATAATAATAATAATAATGTAAACTGATACCATATTGTGATGATGGCTACATGTGTGCTGAGCACCAGTGACACTGATCACACCTTTTGTATTAACACTGCACACTCCTCTCTTGCAGCTGGGTTCTTTACAAGTGTTCACTACAGAAGTTTCTGAAAATCCTACACGGAAACTATCAACTTATATTCCATTACTATTACTAATATCTATGTCTTGGTTGCCCAGATTTCTTTGCAGTATTGCAGTGCTGGGAGATAAAGCAGAATAAACTTGCATATAAAGCAAAGGAGTTGCATTCAACTCTTGATTGTCTGCAGATTAAACTAAGTATTATAGTAAGATATTAAAGCAAACAAAATGTTATCATACACAAAATTGGACATTTTAATAAATTGTGAAATCATGGCCTCAAGTGCCCTGTTTTAGTGAAAATTCCTACTGATCAATACTTTAGATGCTTTGCTTGCAAAGAAATCTGGGAAGCCAAAAAATATTGTACTTAATTTAATACATGACATAGTACATATATGCCAACAAATGACATTAAATCATAAGTGTAATCAGTTTCTACTAAATAATCATTTTTCTCTGGATTACACCAGTAGTTTTTGTGTAATGTTGATCTTCTTTCAAGCTTAGTAGAAGCTAAATATCTGTTAACATTCTTTCTCAATATTACACATTGTTTAACTCCATAATAAACCATATAATCAGTTGGTCTTTCTCATCTTTAATCTCTCCTGGACGCATCAACACCAACATTGTGTTGTTAGATCTTTATCAACTCGGACTAGCCTCCATTAGCTATTCAGCTTTTCTTAAAGTACAAAATACAATCTCATCAAAACACTTTGCTAGTAACTCCAAGGAGTAGAATGTACAGTACATCGGTGAGGTGTCCATCTGTTATCTTTTCATATTTGATGTCATATCAACCTGAATAATAGAAACAGAAGTTAGGAGGCACAGTTTAGCTTAAGTACTCAACATGACACCTGCATTTTTTAATACAATTTCTCTCAGCATATGCTTAGTAAATTGTTATGCATAAAAAATCAAATAACTTTTGTTCCACAGAACTTGACGAGTTTGTCAGTGTAATTTCAGTTACATGGTAATTCTATACAAGACCTCATCAAAGAGGGCAAAACAAGGCATGGGATACTAATACCAAGATATTCAACTTCCCTAATTAGCATCCTTATTTCACAAAAGATAAAGCAAAGTTAACAGCATTTACAATGTTATACAATGTCTGTGTTCACCATATTTATACTAATATGAATCAGTTAAAAAAATTTAAAGCGATATATTCCTGAAACCCAAGTTCATGTTAACTGAATCAGCATTTATATATATATATATGTATTCTCATTACTTCGATTAAGTCAATAAGAGCAAGCTTACCGTCAATCAGTACTTAGCTTGGATACATCAACACATATAAGTGAATTCAAGTGTTATAAAGGAAACTAAAAGCACTTTGAGCCTGTTTAAGGTTACACACTATTACAAGACCTGGACAGTGCTATACAACCCAAACGGTGATCGCCAGGAAGGAAACACAAAAGCTACATGTTCTAACACAAATTACAGATCAAAATCACATAACATGTCTTAAATGAAATCTATGTAAGGCAATAAACCAATACTTTTTCAGCTTCTTCACTTTCTAGGAGGCCCTGCTATGTTCCGAACAACTGAATGTTAGGATGGCATATGAAATGCATGCTAGCAGTTCCTTTTAACAGCTCCTTAAACTAGATAACCTAACAACTCCTTCTTAAATGAGCAAATAATTCTCATAAACATAGCTTGGCTAAAAGACAGTTACTTTCTCCACATGAAAAAATGCTGTATTATCCTTATTCAACTGCTTTTGTTACATAAATATTTTATCAAAGATGAAGTAACATAAATGTACTGGATATTTCATAGTAACTGACCAAACGTTGACCGTTGCACCATTTATGTCTCTACCTGATCTACTACACTATAATACAAAATGGCATCCTGGGCCAACCTCCATACATTATACACCTGAGAAACAGATTGCAGCAATTAGCCAGCAAAGCACCTACAGATGTGATCTCACACTGTCAACATTATACGATAAACATTTACATTAGCTCTAGCTGCTGTGTTCATATTCGTTTCTCTTTTCCTTGCATCTACAACTAGAGCAGATACAATCCAATCTTACCATGATTTTCCGCCACATATTGCATCTCATTGCCAACTGTTTCTATCCTCATATCAAAATTAGGCTTTAATTTTCAACAACACAAAAAGACTTGAGGTATATATGGTTCATCTAGCTTGATTGTGGCCTGGCATCATGATATATCTTTTTAAATAAGAAATGTTTTATGATGCTAGCTTTTTCAACAGATGAAGTCTCTCTTCTCTACTTGTATCCCCTACTTATTTGAAGTTGTTTTCTTTGTCTTTTCCAACAGTCTTGAAAAGGGTTAATGTACCTCTGAGCTTTCAGGTTTGGAAAGGTGGTTAGCATCCCCCAAGGTGCTGTGTGGAGTGACATGAGCCCCAGGGTGTGGGTCAATGGTGGTAGAGTGGACATTCATAGGGTTGTATGGGTATCCAGAACCATTCATACCATCTGCTGGATACGCTGAAATACAAGCAAATGGTAGGATCAACTGAACAACACCCTTCAATAAAACCTTTGTAACAAACTAAAAAACAAAATATGAAACCCTTTGCATCAATGCCTTTACACTATACAAAGGAGTTTTATGAAATTTTTGGTATAAATCCCCTTTCTATTTGCTTATCTAAGTGCAATATCTGCTTTGCCATTTACTGGTTAAAGAAAAAACTTCACACCTGCAGTGAAATACTCCTTGTTGACACAGTTGCGCAAGCTGTCTGGAATACGTCCTACTATAGCACGCCGTATCTCTCCAGCAGCCATCTCTCTCAGTTCAGTAACACTTTGATCACTAAAGAATGCAGAGTGTGGTGTACACAGGACATTTGGGCAGTCTTTCAGTGGGCCTGAGGAAGATATAACATGTGTGGTGGTCACATATAGGGCTAGTGGAAACATTTACTTGAAAGATGACACCTGTTACAAAAAATTAAAAGTAAAACAACTTATGTAGCACATATGAGCTCACCAAAAAAGGCAACATAAAAAAAAAGACAAATTAGCATGCCAGAACAAGCAGAAATGTCAGACATGATGTGAGACATTTTGTCAATTCATAAACTTGCATTTAATTATATACTTACTATTAGTAAAAGAAAATGGCTCGTTTTCGTGCACATCTAAAGCCGAAGCTCGTATCCGTCCATCTTTGAGGGCTGCAGCCAAAGCATGTTCATCTACCAGTCCCCCACGAGCAGTGTTTACCAAAAATGCTCCTAATACAAAATAACAATACTTCAAAACAGAATTCATTTATTTTTTCATTTCTTCTTATTTAATCAAAATATACAGAAGACTAGAAATAACCTACATAGAAAATCCCCCATATCAGGTAAGAGAGAGAGAGAGAAAATAGACTGGCTTGTGTCATCTGACAATCTGAGAGATTTGCATGTCTGAGCCCCTGTGAAAATTTGTCTCATTTTAACGTTTACACAGTTCTCAATCTATTCTAGAACATTTGGTGTATTTTTTTTTTTACAGTTCTAATGCTGTTCTGTAATAAATGTAATAGTTCAAGAACTGTGTTTGGGAAGTCCTTCAGAATGTCCCAGAACATTTTTCATTAAAAGAGAAAAACATTATGTTCTAGGACAGATTGAGAACCATAAGTGAGTGTTAAATGAGAACTTTTTGCAGGGGAGGTGCACTGGTCGGTCTCTCTCTCTCTCTCTCTCTCTCTGTGTTTGTGTGTGTGTTACCCAATTGGTGAGAACTAATCTCTCTCTCTTAACTATTTGGTGAAATAACACATTTTCAGTCAAAAATGTCCCCATTTAAAAAAGATTTTTGACTACTAACTGTACATATCTGCATGAATCCCATTTAATTTGATTTTTTATCAGTAAAGCACTTCCTATAAATCATCAAATTGGAAGTCAACAAAGACCAAACTTTCCACTTGGGCAACATACAAATGGATTCCTCAATCAATTCTCAATAATTCCATTTTCACACAAACTTCCTGATGAAAGAATGTTCTTATTACCTGGCCTCATTTGTTTGATAGTGTAGTCATTGATCAGGTGATGGTTGTGTTCATTCAAATTGCAATGCAGTGACACACAGTCACTTTGGAACAGAAGGTCCTGCAGTGTGTATACCCTGGTGATGCCTGAATTGTAAATCAATTTAATTTTATTATCACATTTGCCACATAACTATTATAGCATATTCAAAAAGAGCTAGAAAAACCTATACACATTTTTTACATAAAAAATTACACAGATTCAATGTTAAATGGTTTGAAAAATGATTTTCTACAAATTTGGACCCAATTTTTAGGTGGCATTTCTCACATTAATATATTTGCAAAATATTAATAAAATACCCTACCTAATGACTTTTCTATTCCATCGGGCAGATACGGATCATAGAATATAACATTAAATCCAAATACTTTTGCTCTCAAGGCTACTGCTGTACCAATTCGTCCTGGAAAAAAATCATGAACATAACACTTTTTTTTCAGTTTTAAAAAATAAAATTTTCAACGTTTGCAAAGTGTTTTAAATTAAAATGTTCACTTAACTAAACTCAGTTATAATAATAAGATTATTGAACACAAGCAAGAATTTTCTTGCCATTGTTAGCATACAGACAATCTGGTCAGATGCCTTTTAGCCATCTTAGTTCGTGTTCAATAACCCTATTATTGTATGATCAAACTACCAAGCTGACGACCACTTAAATCTTCGTGAAACAAAACATACCTACAAAACCTCAGTAACTAAAATAATTGAAAAAAAAAAAAAAAAAAAAAAAAAAAAAAAAGAATTTTGTGAAACCAGGCTTAAGCTAATCATCTGTTAACAAATAAAGCTAATTGGCAAATATAATAAGTAACAACCTAAGTGGACATTTTTTATGTTCTTATATACTACATATGGTAAAAAAGTATGACAGACTTGATTACAACAAAAATAATAAAAGCAAACACAGGACTTACCCAATCCAACAATTCCTAGTGTGTCTCCTCTAATGCGTGCAGATCCTGTGGCAGCCTCCTTTAAACCTTCAGGACCAGATATCTTTTTCCCTTCCTTCAGTGCATTGGCAAGCCAGTAGGTACGGCGATACAGATTTAGTACAAGGCAAATTGTTGAATCAGCAACTTCCTCTACTCCATAGCCAGGAACATTACACACAGCAATGCCTTCAAAATATTATCAGTTTAGTGGTGTTGGCAAGAGTTTTTTATGCCACATCAAAACATCACAAATATATATATAGTTGTCTTGTACCAGCACATTATATTGTTATTATTATTATTATAAGTAACTGGCATTCAGTTGTAATATAAATACCCCCTGCTATTCAGGGAAAAGTTGATTGTCTATTTGTCAGAATCCATCCTTAAAACAAGGACAAAACAGACAAACATTGCAGACAGCCAGTCTAAAGCTGGACTTTCAAACTCTGGATGTGACTGAATTAATAGTGAGTATAAACCAAACTGTCATAAAATAATCATTTAATAAAATGAATGTAGACAAAAAATGCAAAGAAGCACAAACAAGAGAGCCAAAGCTGAAGGGGATAACCATGGGTGCTGAATCATTGTATTTCATTTTCGCAGCACATATATATTACAAGACTTTGTAGTTGGACTATTGATAACATCCAACTCTTAGTCCTATGAACATAAATGCAACAATTCTAATACATTTTTCTACTGTAAAGTGGAGGTAACAAATTGTATGCCTTAGGTCACTGGTAGAAGCAATGAATCAAATGAAAGGGTGGGAGACTATTCTAGAAACTTTGCTGAACACAGACAAGAAGTAGTTGATTATTAAAATGAAACCAACCATTATAATTGTATTAAGCAGGAAAAAAAAAGACTAATGCTAATTATCATCAATCAACAATTATTTGGCAAATGATATACAAAATCAATTATTGGTACTGCAGATAACATTCTGTTTCAATTGAGATCATGTATGAACTGCACTATATTTCTTAATCAGCAATTTTTTTGATTGAAAATCATCTTCATGCACCTCAGTGACACAGAGGGTTGGGGAGCAAGCGGCAGGTTCTGACATGCTACCAATACATTGCCGCTAGCAGAAGAGGAGACTGTTATCACATAACATAATCCCAACCTAGTTCGCCTGCAGCTTTTATATCCACATTATCATAACCTGAGCCCAAACGCACTATGACCCGTAGGGCTTTAAATTTCTTCAGGTCGTCTCGACTGAGTGTGATGTGGTGATAAACCATGGCTCCTACAGCTTCATTCAGAACCTGAAAGGTTGTGAAGGAGATACAAAAGCATGAATAGTTGGAAACCCAATGTTTACCTAACTCCCCAGCAGCCTTGATGTCCACGTTGTCATGGCCGCTACCAACACGAACAATCACACGAAGGCTCTTGAATTTTTCTAAATCCTCTTTTCTTAGAGTGATGGAGTGCCACATGAGAGCACCAACAGCTTCATTCAATACCTGGAACAACATAGCAGGGAAACACAACATACACATTGCTGGCTTATTTTATTAGTATCGCACTGTGTATTTCTATAAATGTTCAGGAATTGAGTTTGGACCAGTATCCTTTTTTTAGTTCTGAAATGATGGTATTTTCTTCTCCCCTTCAGGCTTTTTTTCCTGTGTTGTTTAAAACAATGTTGGTCTTCTTTTATATATTCATCTAAAACACTAGCCATGCACATATTAACTCACAATACACCCAGTCAAACTTCTCCAAAACATTAGCCCCATAAGCCATCATATTATAATAGCATAAAAAAATCTCTCCTTCACGCACAAATTCTTACCTTCTCATGGATTTCTGTTGTTGACTGTGCATCACAAAAAGCTACTGTTGCTACATCCTTCAGTATAGGCATCTCTACTGAACAGTCTCGACCATCAAGCAAAGCCACAAGGGGACGTGGGTGCATAGGCCCATTGGGAATTGGTCCTCGGATAGACACTATGGAAAGTTTAAAATTAATTTGTGTTCTACAAATTAGGTTTTGGTTAATGATAAAACTATATTTAATGTTGGAATGTAGAAACATGCTAAATGTAAAGATCTAATTGAAAACTCACATACAAAAATAAAACCATTTCCATCTTCAACATTAAGACGTGAACTTGACCCTTACTTGTGGGGTTATCAAATCTTGGTCTTTTGATGGGGAGTTGTGGTTTGCCTTTGTCCATGTGCTTTCTTGCTGAAGTGGCAGACTGAGGCAGGTCCACTGTCACAGGAGTATCAACGTCAGGGTCAGTAACTGGAATGTCACCCTCACGCTTTTCGCCACCTTTGAAATGACCACTGCAAACGCGGAGCTGTAAAACATGAATTTGAAGATTCTTATTCATATAAAAAGTTCATGCAGCCGACCTCTATCCAATTATGGCTTCATAAGCATATTATTCCTAGGATTATGTCATTCAAGCATTTTGTAAATCAAGTCCGCAAATACTTATGATAAATACATGAAGTATTTGATTCTAATCAAATTTGTTCTTTTCATGGTCTTCACAAGTATAATACACAAATTCCCACCCTAAATTTGTTTCCAACTTGAACATCACATTTAATTCTTTTAAAATACAAAAATACCCCTACCTGAAATCTGGCTGACTCGTTGGTTGATCTGTAGGAGGTGCACTACTTACAACAGCAACGTGAGGGGGGAAACCTAAATAGCAGAATAGCATGCGCATTTATATATTTAGACATTATACAACATGCAAAAAGGCTGAAATAAAAACAAAAAAAATTTTTGAAAAAAAAAAAACAAAAAACAAAAAAAAAACAATCAATTATACCATCTTCATACTTATAAGCACTCTAATGATATCAAAGGACATGCAAATGAACAGTAAATCAATGAATTTAAATAATGTAATGATGACTGACAGTTAGGGACAAATCTACAATAAAATAAAGGACAATGATAATGGCATCACATGCATGCAACCAAACAAATGTCACTAACACAACAATGTGGATCTTACCAGCAAATACGATCTGGTGAAGTCTCGAGATAAGAAGTGCAAAACTTAAAGAGAGGAATACCATGTTGCTGCCATAATGCAACATGAAATGGATTTGGAATTTAGATGTTATTTGGGAAATTTTGCAATAAATAAGTCTGATGAAGAAAAAAATGAATTGTACTTGTTTCAGTTTGACATGTTTAAACAGTTACTGTCCACAAGCTGACTTCAGAAAAATTAAAAAATGTTATTCAAAATGCACAATTCCCTAAAAAAAAAAAGGACTGTCAAAAGTTAGTATGAATAAACCCTTGCTTTTTATGTGAAGAAATACAGAACCAAGCTACATTTGTGAGAAAACAATGCCTGGAGGTCATGAAATATGTTCCCAATATGCATGAACTTTGTCAGTCTTGATTGCACAACAGAGTGCATTTTATGTCAAAAATTAGCACTTAGCACTGATCCTATGCCTCAATGAATATAAATTGCAATTAAAAAAAATTACACCAATTGGTTCGGCCAGATTAAGTTCAATACATATGCATAAAATTATAATCTCATTTCTCAGCAACAAAAATGAAAAAAAGAGAGAAAAGAGAAAGAGAAAAGGAATGAAATTAAAAAAGATAAAAAAATCAAGTTTAGTATCATTTTTCATTTTTCACATGGAATTTAACAGCCTACATCCTTATTTTAAAACTTATCACTATAACATCATACTTCCAAGAAATGTTTAGAATCTATCATCAAGCAATATGACAAACTAACTTTCTAAGCAACCATAGGTTACCAGCATTACAACATATTCTATCACAATTTCATATATAGTTAACTACTTAGAGCATTCAGACATCCAATTAGATATGTAAAAGTGTCCATGCTTCTTTTGATTTTACCATGACGTACCTGGCTTACAATGGTGTCCTCAGTTCTTCCAATGGCCTGTAGCCACTTCTCGCGCAAAATGGCAGGCTTCTTGGGAACACGATAGAAATGGCGGTTGTCTTCAGAACCACGATAACGGGACCGAAACTTACAGTTAGGAAAACCACATGTTGTCGGCATAATGCAACATCACCTCAGATTTATTTTGTGTTTTCCTAAAATAAACCCAAAATTAGAAAATGAATTTGACATCACAAATGTCATGTTTCACGGAACAAGACTCAACTGCACTTACAACAGGTGTTAGTTATACAGATGCTCTGTCCAAGATTTTTATTTGCTTTACATAACAGTTACTGGAAGTGAATCATGAAATCCAATTGGAGATAAAAATGGCTATATTAAGAAAAAATTATTAAAGCTCAAATGCTGAGATTTATAAGCTATTCAAATGACATTTTTTCTGGGAGACAAAATGCTGCTACTCCACCTATGAATAGCAAATATACATTTTTAAAAGAAAGTGAAAATGATTTTTTAAGTGTTCTCTTCTCCTTTCAAATATATTGTGTTTATTCATCACAGACTGGTTACCTTTTTTGTAAATTTTGAAATTATTGCCCACATTATGAATTTGAACTTTTCCCCTGTAGTCCTATACAGTATAGAACCCCTCCTCCTCCCTTTAATTTTGTCCCAATCCAATGGGAGGCCTCTTAATTGTCAGATTTTATCAACAAGATGCATTCAGTTTCAAAAGAATATTCACTTTTTTTACAAACTCTTCACAAAATATTATATATGATGTGCACTTGTTCCTGTAAAAACAGTCTGGAGTCATAAAATAGTACAATTAAGTGCTTAAAATGAAATGCATTTATAATTCATGGCGCATGCACTTAAATGCCCAGCTGGTCTTTGCTGGGGGTCATTTGCATAAACATGCTGGTGCTTCCTGCCCCACACGTTTCTTTCAGCAAAGGTGTCACGCATAATTTTAGTTCAGTACACAATGCAGTAGCCCAACCCATTGAAAGGAACAATCATTTTGTGTTGCTTTTTATTGGCAATGTTCATCTCCCTGTGCAAATACACGCACGATGTAAACAAATGATCAAACAAAGTCAGTAACACTTTGTTCACAGAAACAAATTCTTTGAGCTGAATCGCTTAATATTTGAGACGAAGAATGATTATAACAGCTAACCGCTACATACAATATACTCATAATCATATAATTGTACACTATGGGAATTATTATTGAGGGATTTTGCTTATAAGTTTTCAAAATTAATTTTCTTACTTACCGTCTTTATCAAGGTTTCAGAGACAAAGACACGGGACAAGACCCCCAACGAAGAACACCGGTGTTCACAATACTGGCTAAATTTCTGCAGAAATGGTCTTCACAATGTGCTTATACTATAATACAGAGCAGATTTCTATTGTCCAAAACAAAAAACAACCACTGAATAAGAAAACAACGGATATAAGAGGCTTGGTTTCACGTCCAAATATTTAACACCGACCTCTCTTTTTTGCAAATGGAGAAAATCACGTACTCTCTCGCTGATACGAGATGAGTTACACATAATGAAATTTACGATGATTGAAATAAAATATACCAGTGTAAGAAATTTCAACATTTTATTAATAGTGAAAAAAGAATATGTTTTGCTTTGAATCATAAAAAATAAAAAAGAAGTTTTTACCCATAAGGCTCAGACAACAACAAGGATGGCAGACTTGAAAGCATTAGAGCATCCCACTCTAAAGGTAGTGCTTTTAAATAAGTGCATACAAGAAAGTTATTCAAATAATAGGCTGAAGTCAGAAGAAAGCAAAGTTGCACGTATATATAATCTTAAACTTAGATTTTGTTGTCGATAACATTTCATCCAACTCGATTCAGAAAGCCGTCAGAAGATTGAATTAAATTTTTGAAAAAACGAATGCACGGGGAAGGCCTTCCATATCTCATGGATTTGCCGTGAGACTCCCGAATTTAACATAGATCTTGCATTTTCACGGATTGTTCAAATTTCTCAAGAAGTCAAGCAAAAGTCTGAATAAATAACGGTATTGCTGATGCGAGAAACAACGGCAGGCTCCAGCAAGGGGTTTGAGTAGAACTAGTACCTTTCGTGGAGCCGTGAAAGCAGGGTGTAGCTGAATTGTGCAATACAGCGCAACACACTTGAGAAAGCACCTTGAAAATAATTTTAAACAATTTTTTTTCCATTGGGCAGTTATCAGTAAAACACATATCTTAGATATGTACCTTCTTGATATGAATATGTGATAATACAAGCTAAAATTCTAGATAATTTTCTCTTCTGGGCCAACAAGTTAGTATGAGCAACACATTCAGACATTTTTTCTGAGTGTTTGTGTGGAAGTGAGGATAAATCTACAAAATAATGAAAATGTTCATTTTTATTGTGTATTCATATTTATTGAAATATATTTTCATTTATGTGTTCATCAGAGTGATTTGTATTTCATTCAGGTACCTTATGAAGTTTTGAATAAAAAATTCCGATCAGCACAGAAAAACATTGATAGAGAAGTTTCTCATGTCCAAGTAACTATGTCTGATGTGGACAGATGTCTACAGAATCAGCCTGTCACAGTAAGAGAGATGTCCATGGTGCTGGATGGCGTGGTAGAGAAATTAAACATTCTCAAGAGAAAGGTATTTGCACTTTTTATAGTGTCTTTTGCGAAGTTTGTTCAGTGTGTCATTTTGCAGACATTTGTGTAAACTTGCATTATATTGCGGAACAACATTAATGGCAAATGAAAAGTGTCAGATATTACAGAACTATAATTTACTTATTTTATCCTCAAGTTATTTCTGAAAGGGATCATCCCAGCAGTGCTGAACCAATCAAGACTCGCAACCAGTTGCATTAATCCTTCCTGCCATGTCTAATGATTTCTGCCTGGGTTCATTTTTTCTTTGTAGTTGTTTTATATTTTCTGGTAGTACCGCTAAAAGTTGATTTTTTCAGGCTGTTGAAAGCATTCAAGATGAGTCTGAGAGTGCTTTAGTCTGCAAGCGCAGGGTAGAACACTTAAAAGAATATGACAAACTGCAGGGAAGTGCTGTCAATCAGTGGAGGAAGAAGCGTTTAGACAGAATGATCGTTGACTACTTCCTAAGAGCTGGGTATTACAACACTGCCATAAAGCTTGCAAGACATTCTGGAATTGAAGTATGTACAGGAAGGCTGTTACTTTTGTTGTAGCAGTAAATGCCATTATCATTGTTAGAAATTAAGGCTGGACTGTCTGCCTGGGGCTGACAACTTTCAGAATGGGCTGAAAAGATTTCCCACTCGGCAGACATTCAGTCCAGCTACTTTTCAAGATGGCTGGACTTTCAGTCCAGCAACTAATTTTCCTAAGAGGCAAACACTGGCCATTATTATTGTTTGGAGTTAATATTTTGTACATGTGTCTCAGCAGTTGCACTTGTTCCCTAACATATCAGGCATAACATTTCTTTAATCTTGGCAGGTCTAAATAAGGTTTTTGTTAAAGCAAAATAAGAAATGATTGTGAAGAATATGATCTTTAGTGATATATTGAGGTTAGATATTCTTTTTCATGTGGCAACACCCTTAAGGCTGTGACTAGAGACTTTTAGTGTTATCTATCTTGCTGCCATCTTTTTCCTTGTCCCATGTCCACCCTTCTACCTTCTACCCAATTAAACATTGGTTACTACTGTAGTATTTAAAACCATATTACAACTGTATCACACATCCTATAATTTCAATGGTCAGTCACATTTGGGGCTTGGTGGAAATAAGTGGTTTTGTGGAAGGTTAGTGCATTTTAAAAAGTTATACAGCTATTTATGATAAACCAAAGACCTATTATTTAGTGGTACCTTTGCTCTTTAAACTATATTTAATCTCTTACATCCAAATTTATTGTTAAAAATGTGTCATTGTCCAATTTCCAAGCACATGACTAGAGAGTGCAATTGGGAGACAAAGTCTGCTTTTCTAAGCCTCCTGTTATCTTGTATTAAGAGAATGTGAAAATGGATGAATCCATAAATACATGTCATTATGGATTGGCATAGAGAATGTACTTTTACTTGTCTGACTTATGTTTTTATTTTAATCTTATATCGACAGGATCTTACAAATATAGAACTTTTCCTGGTATCCAAAGAAGTGGAAGAATCTTTAGAGAAAAAAGAAACAGCTAAATGCCTAACCTGGTGCCATGATAATAAATCCAAATTGCGAAAAATGAAGGTGATAGACTGTTTTATCTCTAAATGTAACATGAGTTTTGACACAGGAAGCCTCAAACTTATTATTTTAAAATTCTCTGAAAATCCATTTGGAATTGAATTAAAAACATTTGAAAGAGAGTATGGAGAAATTTATGCTAACAGGTTTGTCAGTTGTTTGTGTAGATTGCAACATAAACTTGTATATATATAAATTTATAACATGATTTATTCAATGTACAATTTATTTCAGAGTACTCTAGAATTTAATCTCAGAACACAAGAATTCATTGAACTGATAAGAAATAACAGAAGAGTAGATGCAGTCAAGTAAGTTACTGTGTAGTTTTTAATTCAGTATGCATGTTTACACTGGGATTTCAGATATTGAAATGAGGGGGAAGGGGTCAAGATTTTGCCTCCTCATTTTCTGCACCCCTATTCCTGGCTTCGAAAGATATTTTAGAAAAAAAGTATAATGTGTGACAACCTCTAGTACTGAATATAGCCTCTAGGTTTCAGAGTGATTTTGCTTCCCTTTTCAGAATGGGGAGGGATGGTCTTATAATTCTATAATGAAAATTATGGACCAAGACCTTTCTCTTGGTCCTACTTTAATACTTATTTTGCCATAATAGACATTGACGTACATGTTGATATAGCACCCAGTGGTCAGCAGTGTAGTGTTTGATAAAAATGTAGAAATAACTCCATTCTCAGGCATGCTAGAAAATATTTCAACAATTTGGAAGAATCACAGATGATGGATGTGCAAAGAGTGATGGGCCTCCTAGCATTCCCAGTGGACACATCAATTTCACCTTATCAGGTACAATAGTCAATAAATTTAGACTGCATGAAAACGGCATATCCTATTGATAAAAATATATTGAATTTATCAAAAAAATGTAAGAAGAAAAAGTGAAAAAAATTATGTACTGCATTTTTTTAGTATTATATATGTGTATCAAAGGTATATGTGTAAAAAAGACACATGAAAGATATGATATTGAAAGAATAATTATTGCTGAATGTGCATTAAAATGAAAATTTATTTGCACCTTTCAGGAACTGTTAGATCCCAACAGGTGGAATCATTTGGTGCAGCAGTTTAGAAATGAGAATTTCAAACTACATCAGTTAAACAATACATCTGTATTTGTTGTCAGTTTGCAGGCTGGACTCTCAGCTCTTAAGACTCCGTATCCTTTATTTGAATTTATTTAAACTATAAATCACATAAACACAATGTTAATGACATAAGATTTTTGCAATTTTGAAAAAGATTTGTGCCAAGATAGGTTATTAACATTAATGTTAAAAGTGATATCTCTTACTGAACTTATATATGTGGTTAGATACCTGTCGTGTTGGTTTACACGTACATATAATCAAATTATGATTTTTGCTTTGCTTTTCCTCAGAAAGCTAAAAATATTATTTTGATTGTGAAAAGGCATAGTATAAACTAAACATTTTCTTTTACCATGAAATTAAATGAGACTGTAAAGATTTCATGGAAAGATTTTTCATTACAAAAGCAGATTTTCTTTTGACTGGTCATGTAAGTTTGCCTGTTAGAGTATAGTACATGTATACCTTTCATCCTTAACTCCTCCACGCCAGGCACTGCTATAAGGATGAATGTGGAGAAAGGAATCCAAACTGCCCAGTGTGTAGTCCACACCTTAATGACCTAGCTAAGACCTTGCCGTTTGCTCACTGTGCTCAGTCCAAATTAATTTGCCAGATCTCTGGCAGACCTTTGAATGAGCACAACCCACCTCTTATGTTACCTAATGGATATGTCTATGGGTATAATGTAAGTATGCAATTCCATATATATATACATATATACTATTTTGTTGCTAACGGGTTACATTAAGTGACATTGTTTGAGTTTTTTTTTTTTCTTTTTGTGATTTATATTTTTAGATAACGACATTTTTTGGTTTAATTTGTAATCCGTAAACGTTGTCTTCAATTTCTGTAAACTGTACAACCTGCAAAATGGAATTTTCACTTTTATAACTTTATATTTGTTAGTCTTATCTAGAATATGCTGTATTTTCCAGTCCTTAGTTGAGATGGCTAATAACAATGATGGAAGAGTGGTATGCCCTAGGACCAAAGAAATCTATAAATTGGATGAATGTGAGAAAGTATTTGTTATGTGAAGACACTGACGGGTCAAGATGGAGAACAGCAGTGCATTTGGTTGTACAATATTTGTCACATACACATCTTCATTGAAGGCCGGTGCAATACTGTCATGATCCCATCAATGATATAAACATACAAATGATATAAAAATATATCAACACATTGCCAGTGCAGAACAGACTCCGAAAAGAAGAAAAATGTGCTAACTGCATGAGTTTTAACAACTCTGTCGTCTTATGAAGAGTTTGCAGACCTGATCATTGCCTTTTAGTATATAATAAATAACAAAAATATTAAAAGATATCAATATATAATTATATGATATAATAACATACACTTGCAATTCAACTGCTTATGTTACTTCAAAAAACAATGTTTTCACATTATATTAGTGTGGTTTCCAGGCTTTGTTCAGGCATAATGCCTTGAATCACTCGGTGAAAGGCATTCTCCTTACTTGAACCTAACCATGAAGTTTATCCTACTTACAGGTTGTAAAAGAAATATTAATATAAAATGGATGAGATCTTAGTTTTCATGCAAGTTGTTTAAATGTATGAATAACTGAAAGCATGCTGCAAAGTTGTATAAATCAGTTGCAATGCAAAGAGTAAAATGCAGAGTCAAGAGTTCATATCAGGCTGTGATTTTGATTCTTGTGATGCATAATGTAAAATGTGACATTTTAATAAAGCAAAATTACTATGTGTATTCAATATTGCTTACTTAAATTATTACTTTATCTGCATCAATATGTGAATGGTTTAGCGGTGATAGTGGCAGGGTGGTTTCGTGATGATTATAGGAGTAAGTCTTGCTACAAGACAATTCAGTTTCCAGCACTAGATACCAGTCAAAATTTGATTATTATTTATTATCATTATTATTATTATTATCATTTTTTTTTTTTTTGAGAAAAGAGGACTAAAATACATTAAATCTAAAAAGTAAGGACCAGACATGAAAAATTAATTTGGTTTCTATAAAGGCTTATGATTGTTATTATTATCGTGACTTCAGTTTAATCTACAAAATCTAAACGTTAATGGCTGAGGGGGAAAGGTAGTTTGAAATTATCTGTTTTACTGTGTAAAGTATGATTACTGCAAATTTAACTGACCAAGCCCATTTTTAAGTGTTGAAAACTGATGAAAAAAAATCTTAGGCACAGGGCATCTAGTATTGCTTATATATATATATATATATATATATATATATATATATTCTAAGAAATGGGGAATTGATCATACATTTCATACCTACTTTCTCCTCATTGTTTAGTGCAATCTCTAAACTTCTTCATTCAAAGGTATGATTTTTTAAGTTGGGAAGTTGAATATATATATATATATATATATATATATATATATATATATATATATATATATATATATATATATATATCACTTCAGTAATCTAATTGTGTGCTTTGCTTGGTTCTCAAAAATAAACCTATACCTTTATCTGGGATAATATTGTATGCTTCATTTACATGAAAATATAACAAAAAATAAGGAAAAGTTAAGAAAAAATGTATTTATAAAAGCAATATAAGCACATTGTACAACATTCAATTAAATAAATACATGTAGAAAAATATTTCGTTTAAAAATTACAATTTGACAGTACAAGTTTTGCATCTTAGGGATTGCAACTAGAGCCTACACAAAAATTGCATTTGTTAAGTTTTGATACATTTATACCTTAATAATAAATATCTTTGTTAATTTGACACACATTTCCTAACTTCACACTGTTTCTGTAATTTTTTTTTCTTCAAATGGTAGATGACACATTGCTACATTCCCCTTTATAGCAGGTAGCTGTATCAAGTCTGACAGGTTAACCCTTTATTTGAGTCATTCCACTGCTTACAAGACTATGTTTACTGTTGAAGTAAGGTCAACAAATCTCTCTTTGATAATGAAGTGCGCTCTGTACACCAAGATAATACATCGTGTACGGCAACTAGCCATTAAATCAATAACTTGCAGTAGTTCAAACACCTGCATTGGCAATGCATCTATTTTCTTTGTTTAGTCAAGGGCATATATGATCTCTTTCTTAGCATTTCTTGTTGCCTTATAATTATCAAGAATGTGGATTTTATCAACAGAAATATTTCAGTCTTTGCAGCCTTACTCTTGGCATGAACATTTGATTATAATATTATATTCCAACTTCCACAGTATGTCCTTTTTCCTTTAATTTTGATTATTTTTGAAAGCATTTGTCATTTTAGGCAGGTTTTCTGTAGTTGTGATTTCTTATTGACCCCAATCCCCAGACTGTTTTAATTATTACAAATTTTTATTTCCTAACTTTAATCATCAAGATAGCATAGAGAGCTGGAGTAATAACCTGTCACCTATAGAATGATTAAATTTCCCCTGTAATCAAAATTTATGGCACTGCTTACAAATTAGTATCCAGTAAATCCTACTGAAGTTTATTTCTCTGAAATTTTGAATTTTGTTGTGCTTTCCATGAAGTTGGTCGTTAGCAGTATTTCTAGACAAATTACTAATAAAAGCTTTTGATTCAATACCTTTTTGAAACTTGTTTAATTTGGTCAATAAATGTTTCAAGCCTTATGAAACAACAGCATTTTGTGTTCTCTTTTGTCGTATTTCATCAAATGGTGGATACACCTTACTGATACCATTATAGGAATACTTCCAGCAGTTATGTTTAAGGAAAGGTTCTTGGGAGGAAGCAAGTACTTGAGTAGGAGTCTTAAATGGCAGCTCCTCTTGTTTTATCCAACTCCGTGAAGTTGTAGACAAATTAACAGGCCCTGGGTGGCTATTTGTATGCAATTTTGGAAAACGTCTATATGATGGAGGTTTCTCGGTAGGTTCACCAAGGAAAGATGTACCATATGTGCTGTTAAAATCCGAAGCTATTGTTATTCTTCCATAATGCTTCACAAAGTCTTTCCCTGTGTAATGTTGACGCTGATCTGTTCTTTTGAGTCTTTTGCCTAAAAATCTTGATTCATTGCCCTGTAAGAAACACGCAAAAATTAAAATTGAACTAGAATTATTTAAATCAAAATAACAAGAATTATAAATAATACAAGATTATTTGATGACATTACTTTGAAATTACACTTTGATTTAGAGTGCATTAAACAAGGTAAGAACAAAATATTTTCAGTGATTGAAGTAAGGGCAAAAAGCAGTTTAACTTACATCTCCAAAATAAACACCATGATCTTGAAATGAATGTCTGTTATCATGAGCAGAGAAATCATTCTTGTGTTTGAATGTTCTGTATTCTTTCTTGAAGTAAGGTTCAGGAGGAGGGTTGGGTATGTTGGAAGACTGGGGATGGAATGTTGTTGTCAACATAGTCCCAGTGCTTGTGTCAAGTGTGCGCTCTGGCTGACGAGCATATTCTTCATAACCACGGTGAGGAAACTGAAAAAATTGAAATTCAAAATTTAATAAAGCTTGAAAATTTTTCATTTGTAATTTGGCTGTGAATTTCTCTTATAAACCCAAATTTTTGCCATAAAGATTATGTTTTTTAGCATCATAATTTAAAATTATTTTAATCTTAAAATTCTACTAGTCACCTTTATCTGTGGGATGATTTCCAATCTACATCACGAATGAATTAGATTGTGAAACAGTTATAATTAAAGTTGTCAAACATTGTACTAATCAGAAAATTTCATAAGCAAGTGACATCATTAATATATGATGATATAAGGGCATTCCTCATCAACTGTCCTGAGGTATGAAAAACATAATGGTAACCCTGTCAAAAATGGAAAATAATTACGTTTCTTACCCCACCTTATAATATATTAATACTTTTCCTTGATACATCATACTATATTAAATCTTTCCTCACTATCATTTTAAGGCTGTGAGCTGGCCTATAACCAAAACAAGGATCTCAAGGGAGGTCACTTCAAAGAAATGAAAATCAATACAAACATTGATTTGACATTTCTCTTTCTGTGGTATATCAAGTTGCTTAATTGATACAGTTATCAATTAAGTCAACAGAATAAGAGCTTTCAAACTGGGATTTATCAAAAATTATATCTAGCAAGTGTATTTTGCTCATATTATGATTCTAAGTAAATAATAAATAAATTAACTAATATAAATATAATTAATAAACTCAACAAAAAAGAGGATATCAATCCTTACACTGTAAATTACAGATATAATTTCAACTATTATTATAAGTAAAAAATAATATTACCCAAATTCCATCAGCTTGTGTTGAAGGTGCAAAATTCCGACCCTTAGGCATAGTGAAGATACCGCGTCACAACCAGCCACCAGAAAATTGTTGATCTTAACACTTTCTTTCAATCCAACACAACTACAGTAGTCTATCACCTTTGTACAGTTATTGCACTCTTAGACTTTTTTTGCTCCAGAACCGACTCATATAACGAGCCAAAACTTCTCTTGGTAAAATAAATCAGCTTTTGTAGCAATAATCGTCTGGTTGCCGTCGTAATCCTATGAAAAACTACTTCTTCGGATTATGACATGCTATTGATACCGGTGGCTATGCTTAGGTGACTGAGCTCTTTCAATCCATTGTGTACAGTAGTCATGACAATAACCTCGTTTTCATGCGGCCTTGAGAAATAGATGGCGGTACATGTAAATAGTTTGGAACAACAATGACGATAATAATCTTTAAACTGCTTGTTAATGCATGAGTGAAATAAATCTGAGATTTCATAAAAACTGAAGTTGGGTAATTGGAAAAACGATATGTTTGTAGATTATACCAAGATTTTTACCTCCGCCAAGGAGATTGTTTTCACCCGTTTGTTTGTCTGTCTGTTTGTTATCAACATAACTCAAAAAGTAATGGATGAATTTTGATGGAATGTTCAGGGTAGGTCAGAAATGGGTTAACTTAGAAGTGATAAGTTATTGGTGGTGATCTGGATCACCGTATGGATCCAGGATATTTTTCAAGGATTCCTTTTTCGTTATGATTTGAAGAGAAGAAATAAAATGCTTTAAAGAGAATTGTTGTTGGTGAGAAGTATTATTGTCTCCTAAAACAAATAAAGAAGTTCAAGATAGTATGATAGGAGGAACTGAGCTGCCTTGGCTGAGGTCTGCTCTCTGAGTGCTTTTTCTAGTTCTTTTGATATCCAAAACATGTTAACGTTAATAGAGATATAATCAACGGTTCTGCTTAACTAGTGTTAATTGCAGAGTATTTCTATAAGTGTAAATTCTGGACAATTACTTTAAATATCTAAATAATTCTAGTTTGGAAGAGATGTACATCATGGCAACAAAGTAACAAGGATCAAAGTTCAGTCATGTATGTTTATTGTATTAAAAAAACATGGATACTGACAATCATACAAGTAAACCATACATTTTCACACTCACAACAGCTATAAAATTCAATTAGTGAAAATTCTCAAGTCAGTGACAGCTGTGCATGTGAAATCCATTATGCACAGGCATAATTTACAAATACATGCTGAACGTACGTTATCTGGATGTTACTTTGAAAAATGTCCTATTTGAAATACAGGTACATTCTCACCCAAATTTTAAATGTGTTAAACTGCATTGCTTCATGAGACTGATGAAAAAAAAATTCAAATAAAGATAAAAGTAAACAGGTAAAATTATGTCAGATAATCAGAGCTACAGGTCAGAGAAATGATTTGTAAACATTCATTTACAAAATTGCAAGTCAAGTTTTTTATGCACCATTCTCTTTATATAAGTGACAACATAAAATACAATGAAAAAATTAACATTGGGGCCTAAGGTAGAATGAATAAATAAATAAACAAACACATGGTAAATAAAAAATTAAAACAACCCTGGTAACAAAAGCCCTGAACCAACATCTTTGAATATTTCTTCTGTCTATATACACTATCAAGAATGTTGATACTATATACTGCAAATTTTCTCCATGAGACTTGACCAACAGTAAAAATATTATTTTGGAAGGTCGATTCAAAATCAAAATTTACATCAAAACCAAAACCGATCAGGCTATTATGTTAAATTGCAACTTGTACTATTTCACATTTGTCAAGCCACAGTAGTTAATAATCAATGCACTTGCATATATTTTCAAGATACAAAATATTAAAACAAAATAATAATGCCAGTTCATAAGTTTTGTTTTAACATCTTTACTTTCAACCAAAATTCCTAGGGCCATTTGTTGAAAAAAAAATTAATTAAAAATAATAATAAAATGTCATTAAAATTGTAAAAAAGTTATGACAATAAAGTTATTGCAAAAGAACAGTGTTGTTAATTATAACACATAGTGACTTGGTGATTTCAATGAAGACAGTTCTTACTTGATAAGTTGGTAAAACAAAACAATGGTAAAACAATTAATTTACTTCAAACTTATTTCATAATGTGTGCTTTACTTTACTTCAGATGCTAATTATAAAAAAGACTCAAATTGTTTCTTTAAAAGAATTGTAACAATAATAATAAAGCTTTTACCTAAGGTAAGACCCCTTAAGCAATTTCACAACTTGCCTTTCTATCTGTTTGTCTTTTCCCAACATACTACATACACTAATGCATTCTTAGCTACCATGGATGTCTAAATATTTTCTCTACAATACTAGATATTAGTCATAAAGTATTCTTTTCATACTGAACATGTACATTTACATGGAGCCAATCACATATATGTATACAAATGGAGAATGCCAGTTCTACCAAAGTATGTACAAATACTATCACACACACATACACAAGCGATGTCACATTTACCTACACATTCATAAATACACATAAACATAAAACATAACACTCATTCATAACATCTCTATAAAAGGACTTTTAGGAAGAAAGGTACATGGCATTTCACTGATAAATCAAATAACCTATAAATATTTCATCTATACAACAATTAGAAGTCAGCAATTTCAGTTACAGTCTTTAAATAAAGACCCTGTCCTTAATCCTAGTCTGCTATTACGATCGCCTGCAGCCCAAGACTTAGACTTGGTACGGAAATGCTTGAGATCTTGAGCATGGTCAACATGAAGCATTGGTTTGTATTCTGGAGGCTCACAAAGGTCCTATGAAAAAGTTAAAATAAGTTATTATGTAAATTTCCTAATTTAAATTAAATAAATCAAATAGTAATTTTCCTGTAAATAATATTTATATTTACTTTCCAAAATTACAAAAGCAATAATTCTATGCTTTCATTCTTCTCACATTACCTTATTTTCACAGTACAGAGCCTTATATCCACCTTCCAAAAGATAAATCTCTGGATAATGTAGTGCTGGATAACAATCCTTGTTTGAATCTCTGTCCTTGTTCCGTAAAAAGCGACTCCTAAAATCAGATTACACAATAATATAAACACACACTGGTCATTTCCATTCAACTGATGATTTGTTTTAAGTCGGGCAATGATCTCATAGCTTAGAAACAAAAACTGAAAAGTCTTTCTGCAAACAGGTAACTCATTACAAGATTCCTTTCATGTTTTCTATGCTACACACTTTGGCACGCTATCTCTGATTAACTTACAAGTTTGGAGCTCTCTCTGATGAAAATTCACAGTGAAAAATGAGAACTGTCCTCTTAGAACTGTTCTTCTCTTTTGGTGGAGTCTCCAAGAATTCTTTCATTATACCTTCTTTTGTGTATATATTTTTTGCATTCTGAAAACAGGAAACTAGTGAATACAGTGTTGTCAAAGATACTGAACAGATTACCCATCAAATATACACATTTATTCAAAATAAGGCAACTGAAAGTATTAATTCTACATATGTAGGGTTATTCTCTTGCAGTTGACATTTATGCACACTTACTAATTTTATGAAAAAAAAAAATTAAATTTTATTCATCCAATATGTTAGTCTGAAAACATTTAGAAAGATTTGGGGGGGGGGGGGGGAGAATGAAATTAAACTTACTTTGATATGACCACCTTCATACTCGTATGGATATCGACAGTCGATTATTGTGTACTCTTCAACAACTTGGTCATATTCTCCATTGATCAATTTCTCCAACTGGAAATAATAACAATAATGGCTATTAAATATTTATGCAACAAACAACAGCATGAGAGAGAGAGAGAGAGAGAGAGAGAGAGAGAGAGAGAGAGAGAGAGAGAGAGACTGACTGACTACTGAGTGTCAAGATTGAATAGGGAAATTATTTGGATTTAAAAAAACATAGCAACAATAAAAATAATATTACAACAAAGATGACCTATTAAAGCCATCCACGTTGATCACATGAGATATAGCTTACAACAAAATGTTTTATGCAAGTTAAACGTACTGTATTTGGTGTGATAGCCTTGAGATCTTGGTGCTTTCCTCTAATAAGTGGTAGGCAATAATCCTAGAAACATTCAACAGAAATTAATTAATGCATAATTCAACTAATAAGGAGTAGATATAATTTGCAAATATATCAAAAGTATATAACTAGAGGTTTCATCATCACCTGCATTAGACTTTATTGTTTATATATATATATAACAAAGCATAATTTATAATGTTTTCACATTAATCTTACAGCATAGTAACCAAACAGTTTTATCCAATTTACCTTTGAAAAATCCCCAATGAGGTCCTGCTCACTGTCACCTGAAGATAAATAAGTTATACAGTAATGGAAATATTCAAATGTATAGAGAATCAAACTGAAGAGATAGCAATAAATTTTATTTTGAAAAAAAGATGAAGACGAAGAGTCTGAATCTGCATGAATGAATTAATAAAATGATTGGATATAAAAATAATTCATCTCTGCATCTAAAAAATAACATTAATTAAAACCTTATGACATGCATCTGGTATTAAAGTGAAATCTACATAACACTGAAATTAAGACATCAGTTTTTCACATACCTTTATTCAATGCACTTTTGATCATAGCTTCTGTTTCAGAATGGCACCTATGCATCCGCCTTGCAGGAGCAATCTAAAAGGGGAATATTCAAAGTTATCAAAATCAAATTCAAAATCACATAATATCCTAAACAAAATTTGAACAATTGCATTTGCCGTAGTATTATTAATAGATTCCACTCACCTCTGTTTCTGGATTTGAACATGTGTCATACTCCACGACACTCTTTCTTCGCTTGTTGGACACGGGTGTCGTGTTTTCTCTGGGTGGTTCAGATCTCTTGTATGAGAAAGGTCTTGATCTTACATCAAAAGACTGTGATCTGCCCAGCTTCGGTGCACTTGGAGATCTAAACAAGCCTCGAGGTCTGGTACATGTCTATAAAAAAATATACAGCTGGTACATAGGAGTTTCCTACAGTTCTTTAGGTTAATCTCTTGGTCTTCAATGAGCGCATTCTCAACGAATTAAGCCAGGCTTTACAAAGCCGGTGACCTAAAAATGGCGGACGTACATGAAAGAAAAACCGCCTAATCTTTTAATAGTCTCTCTGCCTCTCACACGCCTCNGAAGCATTGGTTTGTATTCTGGAGGCTCACAAAGGTCCTATGAAAAAGTTCAAATAAGTTATTATGTAAATTTTCTAATTTAAATTAAATAAATCAAATAGTAATTTTCCTGTAAATAATATTTATATTTACTTTCCAAAATTACAAAAGCAATAATTCTATGCTTTCATTCTTCTCACATTACCTTATTTTCACAGTACAGAGCCTTATATCCACCTTCTAAAAGATAAATCTCTGGATAATGTAGTGCTGGATAACAATCTTTGTTTGAATCTCTGTCCTTGTTCCGTAAAAAGCGACTCCTAAAATCAGATTACATAATAATATAAACACACACTGGTCATTTCCATTCAACTGATGATTTGTTTTAAGTCGGGCAATGATCTCATAGCTTAGAAACATAAACTGAAAAGTCTTTCTGCAAACAGGTAACTCATTACAAGATTCCTTTCATGTCTTCTATGCTACACACTTTGGCACGCTATCTCTGATTAACTTACAAGTTTGGAGCTCTCTCTGACGAAAATTCACAGTGAAAAATGAGAACTGTCCTCTTAGAACTGTTCTTCTCTTTTGGTGGAGTCTCCAAGAATTCTTTCATTATACCTTCTTTTGTGTATATATTTTTTGCATTCTGAAAACAGGAAACTAGTGAATACAGTGTTGTCAAAGATAATGAACAGATTACCCATCAAATATACACATTTATTCGAAATAAGGCAACTGAAAGTATTTAATTCTACATATGTAGGGTTATTCTCTTGCAGTTGACATTTATGCACACTTACTAATTTTATGAAAAAAAAAAAAAATTAAATTTTACTCATCCAATATGTTAGTCTGAAAACATTTAGAAAGATTTGGGGGGGGGGGAAGAATGAAATAAAACTTACTTTGATATGACCACCTTCATACTCGTATGGATATCGACAGTCGATTATTGTGTACTCTTCAACAACTTGGTCATATTCTCCATTGATCAAATTCTCCAACTGGAAATAATAACAATAATGGTTATTGAATATTTATGCAACAAACAACAGCATGAGAGAGAGAGAGAGAGAGAGAGAGAGAGAGAGAGAGAGAGAGAGACTGACTGACTACTGAGTGTCAAGATTGAATAGGGAAATTATTTGGATTTAAAAAAACATAGCAACAATAAAAATAATATTACAACAAAAATGGCCTATTAAAGCCATCCAGGTTGATCACATGAGATATAACTTACAACAAAATATGTTTTATGCAAGTTAAACGTACTGTATTTGGTGTGATAGCCTTTAGATCTTGGTGCTTTCCTCTGATAAGTGGTAGGCAATAATCCTAGAAACATTCAACAGAAATTAATTAATGCATAATTCAACTAATAAGGAGTAGATATAATTTGCAAATATATCAAAAGTATGTAACTAGAGGTTTAATCATCACCTGCATTAGATTTTAGTGTTTATATATATAACAAAGCATAATTTATAATGTTTTCACATTAATCTTACAGCATAGTAACCAAACAGTTTTATCCAATTTACCTTTGAAAAATCCCCAATGAGGTCCTGCTCACTGTCACCTGAAGATAAATAAGTTATACAGTAATGGAAATATTCAAAATGTATAGAGAATCAAACTGAAGAGATAGCAATGAATTTTATTTTGAAAAAAAGATGAAGAGAAGAGTCTGAATCTGCATGAATGAATTAATAAAATGATTGGATATAAAAATAATTCATCTCTGCATCTAAAAAATAACATTAATTAAAACCTTATGACATGCATCTGGTATTAAAGTGAAATCTATATAACACTGAAATTAAGACATCAGTTTTTCACGTACCTTTATTCAATGCACTTTTGATCATAGCTTCTGTTTCAGAATGGCACCTATGCATCCGCCTTGCAGGAGCAATCTAAAAGGGGAATATTCAAAGTTATCAAAATCAAATTCAAAATCACATAATATCCTAAACAAAATTTGAACAATTGCATTTGCTGTAGTATTATTAATAGACTCCACTCACCTCTGTTTCTGGATTTGAACATGTGTCATACTCCACGACACTCTTTCTTCGCTTGTTGGACACGGGTGTCGTGTTTTCTCTGGGTGGTTCAGGTCTCTTGTATGAGAAAGGTCTTGATCTTACATCAAAAGACTGTGATCTGCCCAGCTTTGGTGCACTTGGAGATCTAAACAAGCCTCGAGGTCTGGTACATGTCTATAAAAAAATATACAGCTGGTACATAGGAGTTTCCTACAGTTCTTTAGGTTTATCTCTTGGTCTTCAATGAGAATCTATTTCAGCTAAAACATTTTAGACAATTTACACAATAGTTCAATTTTGGAAATCATCATTAAGATCTTAAGTGTGTTCTCTTTACTGAAATAAAAATACTGAACAATAAAATACCCGGCACTCTCCCTTACCCTCCATATTCTATTGTTCACTGTAATATTCTCCTTTTCTTTTTCATCATTTGCCACAGTAATGGGAGCAGTTAGTAAACCAGACATACTGCTAGGCAATGAAGTCTGAAGCAAGAAAAAATAGCAAATAAAGGTTTACATTCTTCTTAATCAAAATAAGCTTATTTCATAAAAAATTTTACTGACTAAATAAAGAGTCTCAGATGTGCAATTGATAAGAACTAAAAGGTTTCCAAGATATTTCAGATACTACTTCATGGTTTCTAAAGGAATGCAAGAGTTTTTTCTTGCTGTAATGTTACTTAGTGTTTGTACCTGTTCCCTGTCTATGTCCAATTGCTCTAAGAAGCCATCGTCCTCATCATCTTCATGCATGCTGCTAGTCAGTGAGCTGGTCAATAGACCAGGGCTGTCTGCTTCTTGAATAGGGGATGGCACTTTTAAGTTAAAAGTCTGAAAAAAATCAAGGGAATTAAAATTGACTCCCTTTTACAACAACCAGATATAGCTGTACAAGTATTCTATGGTTTGAAAAAATGACAACTTGATAGTTTGGTATTATATACAGGGACGAGAAGAGTAACATAAGAAATAATGGTACATCTGTGTCATTAAGACATCATACTCAATGTCAAAAAGCCTTCAAGCTACAATGGTATTAGGTCATTCAATTATATTACTTACATATTTCTTGGTTTTGGAAGAGTAAAATTAAACAAAAGGCCTAAATCCTACTGCCACTTACAATTGTTCCAGCAGGAGCTGAAGTGGGTCTTCTACATTTAGCAGGAGAGCTATCCTGACCAAACGAGTTCTGCTGTATTGTCTTTCCAGGAGACTGCTTTACAGGGGAATATTTCTTGGGTGAACAAGTTTCCTCACTTATGTGTCTGTAGCGACTCCTAGGTGCCAAATCGATTGGCTTGATGAATTTGAAGTCATCAGGTTCCTGAAAAGAAATGCACATAGATGGATTGCTATTTTTTCTAATGGATATATCTTTCTAAAATGTTTCTTTGTCATTTCATTACATTTAATGACTTAAGCATTATGCATGCTAAAGATTTTGTCTACCTCTTCATAAGGATAATCAATACAAGTGTCATCTTTACTTATCTGACAAACGAAGAACTTGTATCTTGCATTGCTTATTAGTGAAATATTGATAAAAGAAAAGTATCATATTTAAAAAAGAGGATGACACATCAATCACTGTCATGAAGAGGTTGAACAAAAACATATTCAACAGCAAATGTAACAATATTTTGATTCTTTGAAACACATATTTTAACAATGTGCCTAACAGTATGAGCCAGTTCTTTTTATTCAAGAGGACATGGTCCTCTGCTACATCTATCTTATCTGGTCCACATCACGCCAAATTAGGGCAGTCTGGATAAACAAAAGGCACTAAACACTGCAATTATTACTAATTATCTTCACAGTTATCCTGCTATGGTCTGCTTCACTCAAAACTACCCTGAGTCTGTTTTAGAGATCAACTGTCTGGTCAAATAACAGTCATTCACTATAGCCATTCACAAGGTGCCAATTACCTGGCAGATTGCAATTCAGACAAAAATCTCCACAGAATCAGGTGACAAAAGGTGACCCCAAATTGCCGCTTAAAATCCGTCTCCAAATTGCCACTTAAAATCTCTCTCTCATTCAGGTCAAAACGTGATTTGTTAAGAGATTTGGCAACATTAATATTCAATTATGGGGACAAAATAACATTTTTGAGCAAATTTAAGTTCCAATTAAAGGATATGTTGTCATGAAAGAATAATTTTATTAGAGTATTGAGCAAAAAGTAAAACCCTTAAGTGCTTAGTTCAGCCATCTGTAAAAATATGCATGTCACTGTAATTCAAATGTCATAGGCCCTTTCAGAAAAAATGTATTAATTAGTTATTATTTATTCATGTATTTATCTGAGAGCATATGTTTCATTTCCTTTCTTACAATTCCAAATGAAGCCTTTGAGCATTAAATACTGTTGGTTTACCATCAAATTTTCTATTTTCCATCCTTAAAATTTTCTTTGTTGCTTCAACTTTAGATAAAACAATAATAAAACAACCATTTGACCCACAGCTTTAATCCTATAAGCCTTCCAATAACTAAATTTTAACCAAGTGAGATTATCCCTAATTCCATGGCATTACTTCTCCGAGGGACTTATGCCCCATGGCCCTATTAACAGACTATTAACACTTCATTTTATGACACCATGACAAACACTATTGGGGAGCCTGTGATAGTTTTGACAGCATGCAAAAAGATCCTGTTTACATGCTTGTGACAATTTTTTCTATCAGCAACAGAAAAACTAATACATCTTTATTTTAATTTAGATTATCAATACGTTGATTGTGTGGCTTAATCCAATACCCCCCCCCCCCCCCCTCATGATACAAAATTTAACTTTGGTAACAAAATAATCAAAAATCCTGACCTGTCCAACCCCACTGTCCTGAGATCCCCCATCTTGGTCATCCACACCTCCTCCAAAACTGGATGCAAGGTCAGAGTTGGGAGACTTAACTGTCCTTGTGATGCTGCCTTTAGGAAAGCCCAGGTTCTCAAATGAAGGACTACATGAGCCTTGCAGTTCTGATAGGTTAGTCTGAAAAAAAAATCAATATGTCACTTATTTATGACCTCAAATTAAAAGCTTGACACCACATTTTTACATGTAACTTGTTAAAATAGTCACTTATCAAAACACCATTGTTTTAGACCAATATCTATACAAATAATGATAATAACTTACAGGTACAGATGAATATCTCTTGAAAGCACTCCCCTCTCGTGAGGACCTGAATGGGAAGGAGATAAGAACAGGATAGAGAACAATCTATAAGTTCCATCTATGAATCATAACATTTATATCTTCATCACTATCCACCCCATGGTCACATTTAATACAGGTCAGTTCCACTCACTTATGTCTGTTAACCATAAAAAGCTTGATAACAGCAAATACTTAATTCAATTTTCTTCTACATCATTTTTGTTTTCAAGGTGGTGTTAAGATTAATATATAGCAAGACATCGACTTGAAATGCTTTTTTCCTTGCTAGTACATCCCTATTTACATTTATACAACAAATACATTTCATAAAACTACAGGCAAGAAATGGGTATAAGTTGCTGGTTATGTTATTTCAAAGATAACATTGGACTTGTTTTAACATAAACCATTCCACTGTCTACTTTTTGGTTATTGATCATGAAGATTCACAACAAAACTTGAAAAGTCAAATTTTTCTCTTTTACTTAGTCAGTGAACAATACAAAGGCATAAAGGGTGGTTTTCAATTCTTAATTACAACCATAACACACATGGATGCACATCTATGAACTTGATGAACTTGTAAGTAAAGGTGAGAGCAAACAAAGAAATTGCCAGGTGTTATTTACCTTAGATTTTGGTCCCTCTCTAGACTTTCAAAGACACTTTCAAATCTGGAAATCAACAAACAGTTGTCTACTTGCATTGCTTGCTACATAAACATTAGCAATTCTTTTAAACAATTAAGTAGAAACACACAAGGAATATATAGATTCTTTCAATCCCTTAAACTTCAGTAAACTTACAGTTCAGAAGAAAAAAAGCATTTGCTATACAACACAGTAAAATTACTTCAAATATTTATTTTCAATTGATGCATATTCCCCAGCCAGCTGTAAAGGTGACCAGCATTTGCCAAAATCTGGAACAGCTGTTACTATATTCACCGATCAATGTTTGCATAGAAACTTACAAAGACCTCACTTAACGACCCCAAGTGCACCTTTTCAGGGGGAAGCTCACCTTTCTATAGAAAATTCTATCTGAACCCACACAGGTCATGAATTAAATAACTGTTTAACCTGCCAATTTCAGTAAATATTTTCTGCAACTTTCATTTTTTCTGTTTCCTTATTACTATGATATAGTAACAAAACAATGTATTTTTTTTTTACCTCTGTTCATATGTAGGAGAATCTAAAGGACTTGGAGAATCTACGAAACAACCTGAAATGAGATGCAGACCTTAGATGTCTTAATTACCATAGAGCTTTTAACTTAACAAAGTTATCAGTTGAGAACATACATAAATTTACTGCTGTAATGTGCACCTTACTTATATGTGAGAAAATGCACCTAACTGATATGTGAGAAAATACACAGTTTAGTTTCAACAGTTATTATTATTATCAAACAGGATGTCAGATAAGAATTTACACAGAATTGCCCATGGCTAAAGAACAATTTACCTGGGCACTTAGTTAAAGCAATACAGAAGTTATGAATAACACATTCTTATTCAAATTTTGTTGAAGAAAATGCATATTCACTACAGAGATTGCATAAACACCTTATCTAACACTCACAATTTAGTTACAACCAAACAATTTAACAATATCCATACATCATATATACTTATGAAAGTTGGGAGTCCACTGCGATATTCAGTGTTACAAACCCTTCATTGGCATATAACTTATTATGTAACATAACAGGTATGAAATCACATGAAAATGGGCCTTACCTCCATCTACTGATGAAAGCTGTCTAAATAATGGTCTCACAGGAGGAGGAGTAGGAGTTCCGGTGCTTGATAATGATAATCTCCGCTTAGGTGTGCCACAAAGACTGAAATGTTCAATTACCATCAGTACTACTTCAGCAATTATACATTCATGCAAGGAAGTTGGCAGTCCATCAGATGAAAAATTTAGTGATACCTTTTTGCTCACACAAACGAACATGTGGCAAAATCTGTATTTGGCAATGTATATATAAAACAATTTAAAATGTAAACTGAATAGTGACCCATGCATCTTTGTATCTCATAGAGTTGATACAACATAATACAATATCAATTTACATAAAAGTTACCAATGGCAGTAAGAGTAAAGACAGCTGTTATGTCAATGCAAACAGTTCATTTTTTCCAAATGACCTATAAATGTGATAATATTATAAGCATTGAATGTGAATAACAAGTCTATAAATCTGTTTACCACCTTTTTTTCAACGTAAGTTGTAGCAATTTGTTTTAACATACTTTTTCACAAAATTTAAGGTACTTATGATGAAGTTCGCCTCCCCCCTTCCAAAAAATAAAAAAAATAATAATAAAATACAAATCTTAAATTTTCATGTATCAAATTTGCAATAAAGATTCTTACCTTGCTGTTGTCAGTTCATGCAGATTCAAAGCTAGATCTGTCACTGGAGAGAACATGATATTGCTATGACTTTCAGCAAATTGTGGCGAAAAACTGTTCACACATGATTTTGATAGCTGCAGTGTTAAAAATTTCTTTTCTTTTACTGTAGATCCCTTGCCTTTGTGTTGATGCGGTATATTTTGACTCTCGGACAACGGCAGCGGTTTCTCCAATCTATCACACATGGTAGAAATTACAGAATTACGACGAACAGCATAAGTTTCTTGGTAAAATTGTTGATAATTGTCACTTTCATCAATATGAAAAACTAAGCAGCAAGACTCGGCTCAAATCTTTCGTGTTCCCTTGACTAAGCAACCTATCCAGTCCACCAACTTCTCCCTAGCAGCCTTCCAGACACTCGACCCTCGTTCATCTATGAAGACATGTGCCTGCTGCTATGATTGCATCCTGTTATGAAGGTTTACAGCCTGGAGGACTGGAAGACAAAGACTTAATTGCACATCAGGTGTACGGCATGAAGCACCGCCACTCCATTTGAAAAATAACAGGGATTGGCCAATCATGGCGGTGACGCCTAGACATGCGCACTCCATACGCGATTACTATACACAGGAATTTACTACAATTAACACAAGTTTACAGCGAAATGATATTTAACATTCCAAAGAATAAAATAAAAATATGTCAATTTGCAAAAAATATGTTTTTAAACCAAAATAATACACTTGCATTCTTATAAGTTAAAAAGCACTAAGGGGCACCCAAGCCTACGCATGCGCGTTAGGTTGGCGCGAATCTCTGAATATTTCTCATCTTCGAGTGGTTTGTTTATATTCTAAAAACTTTTGTCTTTTTAATATAATAATCTTTTTAAGGCAAAATTTTGAAAATCTGTAAACATCACATATTCAAGAATGCCTAGTCATCGAAATGCCCATGTTAAGAGATGTGAGATTAGGCAAAGTCGCGGGAGATATATGGATCGCCCGGAGAGCGAAAGACAAAGTGACCAAAGGTAAAGGCAAGATATTGCAGCAGGCAAATATATGATGCACTTTTATGTTAAATTTCTTAAGTATATTTCATCATCAGAGAAACTGTCAGGGAAAAATTTAATGTTTACTGTGTAAAGGATTTTTCTTATTTGTAGAAGAGGTCAAGATGAAAGGTATCATCGCGAAGGAAATTTAAGCCCCTTGAGAAGTCCACTTCGCACAGAAAAAGACTGGGATAATAGAAGGCAGAATATGAAAACACACAGGTAATTCCATGGTAGAAAACCCAGTTGAAGATTTCATTTATGTTTTGTCGTTTTATCAAATGAAGGTTACCTATTACTTGAACCAATTATGTCAGCCGGTAGCATTATAATTAAGTTACATATGAATCGAGCTGGGATCTCAGTAATGCATGTGAACCATTTCTACTGGTTTCTTATACCACCAAAATACAGTCCACATACCAAGTCATAATTGATAAACAATAAAGGCAAAAAATAACTTAAAAACTGCACCTACCACAAACTTTTTTTATTCAGGAAAATTAATACAGTACTACATTTACCACACAATGAGAGACAAAGACACCTTCTACACACCATTCACACACTGAAAAAAATTCTTACAATTTCTTGTTGGGAATTCCCCTATTTATCCATCCCATCTTGTTTGCTAAAAATCCACTAAATGACATAGTACTGCATAAACCTCACTATCACTTCAATATGTAAATGTAACAGCACACAATTGCATACCTACTCAATTGAGACTGTTGAGGCAGTAGTATGTATACAGCAGAAAACGTACATATGAATAATATATCACTTCTGGGGAAATATAAAATGATGTCCTTTAGTATTTTTTGTATACTATTTGAAAGCATATGGCAGCATTGGGCTGGGTTTGGAGGCAAAATTTTTACTTCTAATGTAAATTCAAAGGTGTAGGATGGGAAATGAACCCAAAAATAGGGGAAAGTAAGATTTATACCTTTATTTATGTGTAATGCCCATTATTCATAATATGTGAAAAAATTATTTGTTTTCTGTATAATAGGGCATGCCTAGTGTTTTATTCTACACCAAACTGTCTCTGGTCCATATGCAGTCTGTCACTTGGTATCAAAGACAATAGTATTTGTCCAACCACTGTTTCTTTTGATCACACCAATTTATTTTTCTCCTACTGTGATGGCTGCAGTTTTCAATGTTTGTTAGCTATTTGTATTCTCAGTAACTCTCTTTCAATGGTCTTGTTTGTGGCAATAAAACTACTTCAGTCGGTGTCTGGTCACCCTGCTAAGTGTTGTGTAACTGCTAATTGCAATGCCCTACTGATCAACAGATGAACACCTTGATTGTTTGTACATTATTGAATGGCCTAAAGAAAAGGTGTTTGAATGAAGTCATTTATTGATGTTCATGCCTGTTTGTTGTGTCTCTAACGATTGGTGTTTGTTATCTGTTCCATCAAGAAATTGAAACTCATGTAGTCATTTGTCATCAGGTTGTTGCTTGAAAGGATAGGCAAACAAGTCTCAATGAAGTCTGTGCTCAAGTTTCACACTGGCTTGTCTGGAGATCGTTATCTGTTCTCTGATGTGAGACACCCCCCCCCTCCTTTGGTTTGAGCTTGTGTGATTTTTTGGACTTAGATATTATTAAAGTGACTACTATTTGTTTCTTCTCCCATAAGTGGATGTGTACTTTATGTGTTAGATTTTTTCACTGTATCTGAGCTTATAACTAAAATGATGATAGATATTATTTATGCTACATATTATTTTGACACAAAGGAATATACTGAAATAGAAATACAATGAGTGCAATTCACTCAGCTAACATCCTGAAAAGAAGACAATTTTATTTATAGGATGTCATGTAAGAATGAATTTAATAAACTAAGCACTGAAAAAATTAGAATACCAAGAAAGTATTTTTTAAACCAATATTTTAATTTATAATTGGGTCTCTGAACCAACCCAATCTAGCCTGTAATAAAACCCTGCCTGTTTGGCAATATTATACTAGTAATCTAATTTGAAATAGGAATTCTGGTCTGGTTTACAGTTAACCTAGATAAAGTTTTTCAGAGTATGGATTTGTTTATTATATGTTATGCCCAAGCTTGTAATATACATAAAAAGCACCACCACTAAAAAACTTCTCTAAAGCAAAGAAGTTCCTTGGTTTGAAGTTTTTATTGTTCAAAAAGATGCCAGTTTAAAGTTACATTTCATTTCCAAAATTGGCATTGCTTTGATTTTTACAGTGACAGATGTCAAGTTTATCTAGCAGGTTTGTCATGAGTTGGGCTCAGTTGAAAAGTCTTATTACTTTAAAGAAGTGGCAATAGGTGTGCTTATCTCACCTCTATTACATAAATGTCAGCTTTCACTTGATATACAGTTTGTCTACTGTAAGTTGAACAGTGTTGACTGGAGATGCTTGTATTATGGAATCTTTTGTTTACAAGTTTCTAGCCTAATACAAACTGATAGCTGTCAGCATTTACCTGGCTGGTCAAGTGCTATATCCAAGGGAAAGCATTATAAGCCAATCAAAAAAAGCTTATCTGTATTTGATAAACATCTTAAGTGAATCAGTCAAGTTGGTGTGAGTTTCTCACGAGGATCTCAGATTAGGCTTTCCATTTTTCTTAAGATTTCCTGAGTGAAGCTACATTTATTTATTTGTTTGGATTAGAATTAATGTTTAGCTCAGCCAGAGGCAGATCAGAAGAGAGATCAGAATTGAGCCATCCTTCCCAACCTTCTGACAGGTTTCAGAAATAAGATGTACCCTTTTATTTTTTTGGCAAAGTGAACCCATTCTTTTGGAAAGTGCGCTCACTTTGTTGTTTTCTCATTGTTGATGAGTTTCCTCTTCTCTGCTCAATAATAATTCTATATAATATAATATAATATAATATAATATAATATAATATAATATAATATAATATAATATAATATAATATAATATAATATAATATAATAATAACATAATAATTTATTCGGGCATTAAATGTGACAGTTACATTTGTAACAGTTAGCCCTCTATACTACAAATGGTGCATTAAAATATGTGCAGATTACATTTTACAGGTTCTCTAATCTACTATTAGTTTTATAACAGATATGTAACTACAAAATACATACAGACTGGGAAATAGCAAAGGATAAGACAACTATTGCTTATGATGGGGGTATAGTTTCTTCAAACTTTCAGTTATGATTGGATAGAACAATGTCATAGGTAAATATTATGTTTGGTGATGACATCAATGGTCAGTATTATGTTTTATCAAACATCAAATTCATGGTCATGCGGTCATAATCTATGCTAATGTATACATATATAATTAGGATAGATTATAATTTTATATCCATGAATTAGATACATTTCCAGTAGTACATTTGTTGTAAATATCTTTACTTTCTACTTTATGCAGCCCCAAGCAGCAAAAATCAAACCTTAACAGCTCAGAAAGAAGAAGTTGGAGACAAGTCCCTAACAATGTAGTGCTAGATTTTGTGGACAAGAAAGAATTCCCAACTCCTCATGAAGCTAGGTATACTTGTATTTTTCTCTGTCAGAAATTGCTTCATTTAGTTATTTGTAACCCCCAAAATCAGATTATTGTAAAGTATGCATTCCTTTTGATATTGTTCATACAGTATCTTAGAGATGACCCAAAAAGGTTTTCAATTAAATCAAACAAATCAACCCTAACAGATTTGGGATGGGCATCAACTGTATATCAATTCTTTAAAAATTATGCAAAATTATTTCTTAGCAAGGTATTTACTATTAAATTCATTCAGAGATGAAGTGTTGATTAAAATATCTGTAATGTGGAGAGTGTTGCCTGAATAGAAATTTATTGTAACATTTCTGTTTCTGCCACAGGTTCACCCCAGAGCACTCTGCAATGAGTCGTCTTGGTCCTGCTACAGACTGGGGGTCTCAAATGGATGAATATGATATTCAACAAGAAAAAAGCAGAGAGAGAATGCAGAAGTAAGTATACAATTTTAGATTATAATATACTGCAACCAATAGTCCCTTGCATGTTGATACCTAAGACTGGCTTATTTCCACTTACATCCGAGTTACTGCTCTTCCCAATACTTTATTAATTTATTTGTTTTTCAGGTACCGGAGGAAACTTGTGCTGTCTGCAGATCAAGGTGGAAGAAGGAACAGTGAAAGCAAGTGAGTGGATTTTTTCCCCAACATTATATTAAACAATATTCTCATGAAGAAGAAAAGGGCATAAAAACAGTTACCCGCACAAAGGATTTAACACATATCAGAAGCTTGTTATATGATCTTAATATTTAGGTTTTTAAATGGTAACTATTGCCTTACATCTGACAAGGTATTTCCTACTTTCAGAGAGAAAATTGAGTATGAAAGAAATGAAGATGTTTTATTGAGACGTCAGAAGCAGATTGACTATGGAAAGAATACCATTGCATATGATAGATATATTGAAGAAGTGCCTAGGTTAGAAACCGTTCTAATTTTTTGAGCAAACAGAATTATAGTGAATGGGAAGAGAGAGATATTTCATATCTATTTATTATTTTACAAAAGCATCTATAACCTAAAACCTGTATCTATATCTAAAACCTGTACTAGTAATTGATTTGTTACTTTACTGTTGATAACTTCTTTAGTCTAATTAGTGCACAGTTTTCAACTTGTCAAAGTTTTTTTCTAATAAACTGAAACAGCACAGATATGAAAGTAGGAAAATGCAGATTTCCCGTTAGCTGTATGAAAATGTAAATGCTAATTTCAGGAACAAACGTACCAGGGCTCATCCACGTACACCAAACAAAAACTTCAAGGTCAGTCGTCGTTCCTGGGACATGCAGGTGCGCTTGTGGAGGAAACAACTGCACATCTGGGATCCTCCTGTTGGAGGCTCTCAAACTGATGAGAACAGGTGAAATAATGATGGCTTAAACATTTAAACGATCTTTATTGAAAGTTGTCGAGAACTAACATAGACCACAATTACTAACAATGTCCCTCTGTATGTCATCTGATGACAATTGTACTTCAGCACTACTTGGTCATCTTTGATTTGCTCTCAGTTTTATCCTTTTTTTTTTTTTT